CACACACACACACACACACACACACACACACACACACACACACACACACAAGAAGGCCCCTGCCTCGCTGTGTACAAAGAGCAGACGACACCCCCCTGTAGAGAAACAGTCTGGTTGACTGGAGCGTTTTGCTAGTTAGTGGACAGAGAAGGCTGAGGACAGTCCCCTCTCTCTCTGTGCGTGTGCGTCAGGAGTCCTAGTTGACCAGGAGGGGCTGTAAATGCATCATTCCTGGTTTTCACGCTGCTTTTGTCATGCCCAGTGTTTCTCTCACACCCACGGTGCATTGTTCAAGCGTTTTCATTTAGAGGAGAAGCAGTAACCCTTTATGATGAGGTGTCTCCAGAGGCCTCCTGGAAAAGGCCTGGGTCATGCCGCTTGCCCCCCTGACCTCTTACATACTCCAGAATAGTATGGGTGGTGTTTCTCAGCCCCAGCTGCATATCAGAAACAGCTGGGGAGCTTTATACAATGTCACCCAGACCAGTGGGGATACTACAGATATCCCTGATCTTACAGACAGGAACCCAGTCAGCTGATTCTTGAGTCCAACCTACAACCCCCCTCCCCCCGCCACACACACACACACACACACACACACACACACACACACACACACATTCATTTTGTAATCTCTCCCCTACAGGCTAAGTTGCCAGAATACTGATTTGGCCATGAATAACCAGGTGACAAACCACAGGTTTTTCATAGCACAGCTAAGATTTTAAAGGCAGCTTTTGAGATAAACAAACCAGCAGGGCAGGGTGTTAATGGCTTGTCCCATGCCCCACAGTAGGGTAGACGTGAAATTAGAGCTAGAATTCTCTGTTTCCGAAGCTCAGATTTAGACTTTTGGAGCTGCTGTTCACTGTGCAGTTAACCAGTGTGCTTGTGAAAACCTCAGCGAGGTCCGAGGCTTCCAGGTGGCTGCATCTCATCTTCTATTAGCTTTGGTTTTACAGTGCTGGATACGTAGAACTAACTTAATAAATACTTGAATGAATGAATGAATGAATGAATGAATGAATGGCAGACAGATTTGTACCCTTAGCTTGTGAGCTCTCAGCTGGCCAAGCACAGCTTGTTTCATTCCATCTGCAGTGCGTAGAACTCTAGGTACCATCCAGGGCCCAGGATTGTTTTGTTTATTTTTAGTGCGAGTATGGCGGGGGAGGGTTTTCATTAAAGAAAAATGGAAGAAAACAAAACAAAACGGTGTTAACTCTGCATTAGGTAAAACTCTTCATTGGAGAGGCCTGTAGGTCTGAACCGTAAGAAGGGTGGGTCCTGGGGCGCTGGTAGCAGGCTCCATTTGATTCTTCTGATGTGACCAAGAAGCTAAATTGGAACTTTTCCCCTTTATTTTACAGGTCACTGCCAAGACTGCCTTCCTATTTATTTTACCTCAGTATAACGTTAGCGTGCCTACAGCAGGTAAGCAGAACACTCGTCTCTTTCCCTGGCCCTGTTAACTCTGAGGGACTTGGAAAACTTCCTTTTCCTGTGTACACATATGATGTTTTTAGATATTCAAACTCAGCATCCTACCATGGGCGGCAGGCCTCATCCATCCTCGGCCCCGGCTCTGCAAGCTTGAGGTTCTCGGGTCCTACCACCAGGAACCAGACATCGCTCCTCTTTCTTGTTGCAAAGTGCCGAGTACCCTTTTGATCAATAAAGAAGGAATTTTTGGTAGCCCAATTCAGTTCTCTCCTGTTCATTCTGTAGTAGTGAGGTGAATTGTCTAGACTCTAAGGTGAGGTTCCTTTCTTTGCCTGGCTCTACCAGCAACTAGCTGAAGGACTTTGGGGGCAAATCCCTAACCCATGGCCTGTGGAGGACAGAGCCTCGAATCTTTTCTAGACTTCGACTTGCCTGCCTCCGTCCCCGCCCCACAGTTCCTGTAGCCAGGCTCTGGGGGAAGCCATGCTGCTGGGGCAGTCAAGTCGTTGCCTTCATATGAGAATCAACTAAGGGACACTGGCAAGAGAGGACGAAAACTTTATTTTCATGAAAGAAGACACAGGAAATGCCATGGCTAGCACCAGCAGTCAGGAAACCAGGCAAATGCCTGCTTGTCCCAGGGCACACTCCAGCGCTGGTGGGCACAATGGATTGTCTTGCTCAATGTCATGTGGTCCAAGGTCAAAGTCAGGCTTTTCTACTTCTAGCTCTTGAAAATCCTAGTAACACAAGGCTGCTGGTTCGACTCCTGCATGGGATGGTAGGTATGCCCACCTGCAACTAAGATTATAACACAGCACCTTCAGCTCAGAGGCCACGAGCAGCTGACGGGCAGCCAGATGGCTACTGGCACCCTCCACAACTAAGATCTAAGAACAACAACTTGACTGGTCCCCCTCCCCGAATTCCCCAATTTAAAAAAAAAAAGAAAGAAAATCCTAGTAACAAAGACACCTCTAGACCTAGCTGTTCTTATTATGATTTACTGATTGAAATTTTCTAAGTTTTTAAAAAATTGTGGTAAAATACAGATAATATATTTACTATCTTAACTATTTTTTAAGTGTACAGTTCAGTGGCACTAAGTAGATTCAGATTGTTGTGCATCCGTTACCACCATCCATTTTTAGAACTCTTTGTACCTATTAAATAATAACTCACAGTTAAGCCTCCACCCCAGCCCCTGGCAACCACCATTCTACTTTCTGTCTCTATGAATTTGACTATCCTAGGTACCTCGTATAATTTTAATCATATAGTATTTGACCTTTTGCAACTGCTTAAAATTTAATTTTAAATAAACGTTTTTCAAAATACGTTTACATGAGTGATGCATGCCTTTCAGAGGAAATTTATAAAGTACAGATAAACATAAGACGATAAAAGTCACAAATAATGCCACCACCCAGCAAAAAACTATAGTTAGGAGCATTGATTCATAACCCGCTTCTTTGCTGTTAGCATATGATGAACTTTTTTCTGTATCATTATTAATTCATTTAATAAGACATTTTGAAAAGGTATAGAGTGTTTCTTAATAGCGATTACCACAAATTATGTGTTTAATCCCGTATTATTGGATATTTAAGTTTCCAGTTTTTATTGTAAACAGTGCTATAGTAAACATTCTTATGACTAAATTTTTGCATGCATTCATAATTATTTTCTTAGGATAAATTCCTATTAACTGGAATTTCTGGGTCAAGTAATATGTAAATTTTAAAGGTTTTATACATGTATTGCCAAAATACCCTCTGCCATATAATTCTTAGGACCCATACATCCTAAGTTTTTATAAATATAAAATGCATAGGCTTTTAAAAAATGTTCAACTTCTCATTTATTAATTTATAAAGATATATCTAGCTATCAAATGTTGTGCTGGCATTTTCATTACATTTCTTCTCAAAGTCAATTTATATAGCATGCCATGACCCAATTCTGCTTTTTTAATGTACCGTGAGAAAGTGTTGTCCTGGGGACCACAACAGTGGATGTACATGTGACCAGGGCATGCCCTTATTATAGGAAGGGACTATTTATAAAACCAGATCATGATCAAAGGGTTGATTTTTGAGTTTGAAAACTTTCCCACAGAAATTAGCAGACTAGTGCTACCCTAAAAGCATCCCTTTCACAGCCAGGATGAGAAGCATATACGTTTTGTATGCCCCAGGGTTGAACTCAGAGACTCCGAGCATAAATAGCATCCCACGGTGTTTGAGAGGGGTAGGTGTGCCATGACTGATCATAGCATGCCTTCATTCATTTGTTTTAAATAATTAGTCAGTGGATCAAGCCCGACAAATATTTGTGTGCCTCCTGTGCACCCGGACCTGGGTATAATTTGTAAAACGTGTCTGATCCCTGACGCATGGAGCTTACCATTAGCCTAGGGAGGGATCAGTAATAAACAAGCAAACAATAAATAATTATAGTTGCAATAAGGGTAGAGAAGGACAGGTACAAGGTTATGTGATAAGGAAAATTAAAAGGGTGATGATAGAAGATGTTTCTGAGAAGCTGATATTTGAGGATGTGTAGGAGGTTGTGTTGGGGGGCGTGGGGGGGTGGTCTGGGCAGAATGTTCTAACCACAAAGAACATTCCAGGCAGAGGGATCAGCATGTGCAAAGGCCGCAAGCGAGAAACAACCACCTTGGCGTGTTGAATAAATGGAGGCCAGTGTGACTGCAGCCAGCTAGGTTTGGCATGTTTCTAGGGTGAGGCTATTGAATTCTGCTCCAGGAATCCTCTTCCAGTCCAGAACAAGGCCTGAGTAAAGGTGAAGTTACATTAATATTCATACTGAATTGAGGAGGGTTCGGTTACTTTAGAAAGAGACGATAAAGTATTGTTAAATAGCCTAATCATTTGTTTAAATCTTGCCATTTAGGGCTATTCGAAATATGACAAGCAAATAATCAAGAGAGACAATGAAATCAGAATAGCCTGCCTCATTTTGTTTTGAGCTCTTTAATCACCAACCCAGTAGAGTAATGTTTGGTTTGTAAATACTGGAGGAAAGAAAACTTCTCGTGGGAAAAAAAACAGTGCACAATAACACGTCTGTTGAGGTTGTGAATTTTAAAACCCTCCCCCCAAACCTCTTTAAGGCTGGAGGTGCTTGGGGATGTATCCTTCTTGTATAACCAGGGTAAATCCCGATTTCTAAGGTTTTTTTCTTTAGCACGTTAACTTGTTCAATTCGATGTTTAAAATTTGAATTTTGGGAGAGTGGTGAATGTTTTCATACGAAGTAGCCTACCATTTCTAAATTCCTGGGTCTCCCCTCGGCTGAGGTTTTCCAGTTCTACGGGAAATAAATAGCTAATGGTAATGCGGACGTGTTTTCTTGCCTGTTTTGTTTTGCTCGCACTTCTTTTATACTCCCTTCTTCCCAGCTCCCAGCATTTGTTTATAGAGCTGCGGTAACAAAAGTCCCACAAATGGAGTGGCTTGAACAACACAAATTTATTGTCTCACAGTTCTGGAGGCTGGAAGTCCAAGATCAAAGTCAGCAGCGCCAGGCTCCCTCGGAAGGCTCTAGGCAAGGGTCTGTTCAGGCCTCTCTCCCAGCTTCTGGGAGTTCTTTCACTGGTTGGCAGCTCAATGCCAGCCTTCACATGGCATTCACTCTGTGTGCATGTCAGTCTCCGTGTGTGAGCTTCCCCTTTATACAAGGACATCAGTCATCCTGGATTAGGGGCCCACTCTGCTCCGCTACGCCCTCATCTTAACTGAGTACATCTGCAACAACCCTGTTTCCAAATCAGGTCACATTCTGGGGTGCGGGGGGTTAGGACTCCCACATAGGAATTTTGCGGGGACACAGTTCGACCCCTAACACCAGCTATAAATGTATGATTTTGTCACATTATAAGTTGGCGGAGAAGATGAAGCTCCCCTCAGAGAGATGCACTGACAGAGGAGATGGGCAATCGTTGCAGGAATAAGCTGTGCATCCTGGTGGCGCGCCTGCCACGCACGCCAGCATCCTTGTGGTTTTCTTTAAGGTCAATGGCGATGAAGCAGGAAATGTTCCTTGTTACCAAATCCCTCCTCTCCTTGTTCCCACTTGGCACCCTGTGAGGGTTGCCAGACTTGGGAAATAAAAATCCTAGACCACCAGCTACATTTCAATGTTAGATAGACAACAAATACTTTTTGTAGTGTAAGTATATTTCAATATGCATGGGATACAATTATGCCAGAAAATTAGTCTTTATCTGAAATTCAAGTTCACCTAGCCATCCTGTATTTTATCTGCCTCCCATACACCCTAGGCAGCCTTGGCAAGAGATAAAATGTCAGGTTTCTAGTCTCACCACTAGACACTTGGAATCTTCTCTCTGATTAAAATACTACAAAGCATCTGGTATTATGGCCAGAAATATATAAACTCTAAAAGGTCAACAAAGAATAGAGGTTTGATTCTTTGCACAGACACACTTAAGGCCCGCTGGCTTCCCTTCTGAGGTAGAGCAGGTGACCTCCAACAGGCTAAGCCTTTACAAGGTGGTTTTGCGTTGCGTCACTAATTTGCTGAAATGTCTTGAGCAAACCACTTAACATCTGGGTTTCTATCTCGCACTTGCAAAATCCAGGGCGATGGTCATTCTCTTAACCCCAGTGTTTCCTGAAGACAGGGAACCCTAGGAGGCCTCCTGAGCACTTGCCACTCACATTGTCACAAACCCCCACCATTGGCATCCCCTGGGAACTTGTTAGAAATCCCGCCTCTCAGGCCCCACCACAGACCTACTGCGTCAGAACCTCTACATCGGGTGACTCCTGGTTAAAGTCTGAGAAGCACGGCTCTAAGTGCCCTGGACAGAAAGCTCCGGGTCAGGCTTTCAAATGACCCCATGCTTCTAAGCCTAGAGGTAAGACAGGTCAAGCCACCAAATCTGGTGCCTCGTTTGCATCTTCCTGTTCTCTTCGAAGTTTGATTTTTCTGTAAGTGTTTGG